AAGTTGCCTCTGCTGCGGTTCCTACTACAACACTTGTCTCTGTTGCGGTTCCACTTTTTACCACTTCCTCTACTTCTGTACCTCGAATTTCTCATGCTATACTTTTTACTGGTGTAGCTTCCTCTACCCCAGCCCGACACTCGCGTCCTATGTTCCGMCATCTTGCCGAATCCACCCCCCTTTCATCCCTTTCTATGCTTGGCCGCAGACGACTACGTTCCTCCTCGCCACCCCCATCTCCTCCACGGTCTCGTTTGAAAACCGATTCTCCGGTTTTATTCTTCCCATTGTTCGGCCTTCATTGCGAGTGACATCTTCTGTTAGAAACATCACCACTCCTCTTATTATGTATCATCGTCGACGACATGCACAACATCGCCACTTGGCCAGGGATCAGCGGCCTGCTTCTTTGTCTACCCCAATTCTCTTTGTGCCTCCTCCACGGATTGTTGAGGTTCCGTTGTCCCAAACGGATACATCCGCTCCTATGCCTCCTGCAGACAGTCCAGCTGCTTGCACACAGCCACAGCACCATGTTTTATGCCCTTCCATGTTCGTTTGTCCCCCAGCTGTGCAACAGGATATGGTCCCTGCCCAGAGTACACTCCCAACGACAGTCCCTACTCACGATGTGGCCCCGAACGCTGAGGGTCTGGGACATGATCAGCTCGGACTGCATTTAACCCCGTAAGGCATAGACCACACGGGATATTTGCAAATGGCTGACCAGGATCATATGGATGAACCGCGTACTTGTGCCCCATCCTGTGTGGCCCCGAACGTTGAGGGACTGGAACATTATCTGCTTGGACTTCATTTAATCCCGCATGGCGTAGACCCCACGAGGGATTTGCAAATGGCTGATCAGGATCATATGGATGAACCTCATACTTGTGCACCACCCTACGCAGACCCCACGGGTGATCTACAAATGACTGACCAACATAATCAGCCAGAGATCCCCGCCAATCTCTGTGGTCTGACTGCAACTAATAGCTGCCTTCGCGTTCTCAATCGGCCGTTGTATACACCATCAGATTTCCTTGCAATTGCCCTGCAGCTTGATGTTGATCTGGCTAATCTCGCTGATCCCCCCGACCTACAGCCAGAGCATCGTAATTACACCAGGGAAGGAGGTTTTACCATTGCTGTCCTAGAAAATAGCGATGAGGAACCGCCAGCTTGAACTACGCCATGCTCTACCAGGTGAGTTGTTTAATCCTCCATCCCGCATCTCTGCCTGCATTGTGCAT